CACACACACACACACAGAGGAAATGAGATGTAACTAATGAAAATAAGGATAAGAAATAAAAGCATAAAGAAGCTTACCATGGTTGGTTGTAAAAGTCTGAACGTCGCTCTTTTTCAGCATTACGACTAGCTTCCCCTGCAACAAGCTTCAGGTCCCTGCTTTGGGAAGCAATCAAAGCATTGATAAACTCCATAGGAGATTGACTGAACCCAAGAAAGAAAGCTCTCCTCCTACGATGCTCATGGATCTTTTTTATGGCAGCACAAATTGCTTCATCACATGCATCAATCTCTTTGTGCTTCTCCGTGTTGGCCAAGAAAGCTGACATTTCCTTCTGTATTGGAAAAGGAACATCAACTAATACATCATAGCAAGCATTCCCAGCCGGACTGTTCCCAGAAAGCTTGATCTTGTGTTCCAAATGTATAGGCTGAGATGGGGATAAATGCTGTGATATCTTCTGCGAAACCATTGCAAATTTCATCTTCTCTTCCCCAAATACTTTGCGAAGAGGTGGATCACAAGCAAAGAAAGAAGGATCGGTTGGGTTTTGCAGCTTCCTAGCCTTCACATAATGCCATATCGCAGCTATAATCCTTGGGCGGGTATCGACTTCAATACCAAGAAGTTCAATCAAAGCAGGAGAGAGCTTAAATTTCTCGGGCATGTAATTCATCTCTAATCGTATATTCACTGTAAATTCCTTATCCCCTCTCCTTTTTACCTCAAAACCTTCATGAGGTGCAGGCGATCGAGCACTTTCCCATACAATAGTAGAGTTATTAGGATAAAGACTCGGGTCCAAGTTAATAGTAATTCTCTTGAAAAAGGAAGAGAACTTTGGGTGTAATGAACTTGGTTTCTGGATTACACCAGTAGGGTCGGGATCCACTCCATCTTCCAAGATCCTCCCAGTTATCTTAAGTGACCAGGAAGGGGGCTCCAAATTCTGCTTCTCTGGGATCGTTCGGGTCTGATTAGCAAAAGTGTTGAAGATATAAACTCGAAGAGTCTTCTGAATGCAAGGAGGGCTCTTAAGGGATTCCTGAATATCAATCTTCTTTCTTGCAAGAGCAGCATCAACCCGTGCCTCAAACTCAAGCAGCTGGGTATACAGGGCAGACTCGGGCAAAAGCGTGGCAACTCTGTCTGGTAGCTGCTTGTCTGGAAGTTTCCTCTTTTTTCTACGAGCAGCAGGTGTTAGCTCCATTGTTTTAAATGGCGAAGATGTGCTGGCAGTAGCAGGAGCCGGAGGCCGTGCAGGAGGTTTCTGGACAACCCGCTTGGCAGTTGCTGTGCCGGGTGATGAAAGGGAGGGAGACGATGCACCTACAAGTCCAACCCCAGGGGACTGTGTCTGGGTAAGAGACTGTGATTGAGCTTGTAGCTGAGCTTGAAATTGGGCATGAGCTGCTTGAGCTTGAACTTGAGCACGAGCTTGGGCTTGGGCTTGAGCCTGGGCCAAGGCTTGTGCTTGGGACTGAAGAGGTGACTGGAATTGAAAGTGTGGGACAGGTTGTGTCTGAGCTTGTGACTGAGGATGTAGATGGGAAGGGTGGTTTATCGGCATAGATGGAGATACCATCCCAGCACTACCAAAAGGGGACTGAGCCCCAACACTCTTCGCTGGGCTATTGTTGTTCGCAGACATTGTTGTCTAACAAGCCAGCTTCCTCAATCTTTCAAGTAGACCACGGAACGGCAAAACCCTACAGAGCTGCAATTTGCAAAGCCTGAGGAGCCCAGCAAACCTTTAAATATTTTATAGAGAAAAATCGTCGAATGTAATCCTTAAGCCTCCGAAAACCCTAATTCCTCTGCCGGGTATAATTTCCCCGAATCGCTGCAGATATCCCAATTGAAACAAATCCTTAAAACAAAATAAATCAAGGAGAAAATATTTTGAACTCAACTGCTCTCCTTTCGACCCTAGGGACCATTGTTACACATGAAACAGGGAGAGGAAGGAGGACAAGTGGCGTTTACCGAAAAACTCTTGCGCGTAGATCTGTACACAAATAACAACAAAATTCTTGTGCGTAGACTATGGAGGGTTCCTTCTGAGCAGCCGCAAGCTTGAATTACCTACCTGACATCGATCATTCTCGATGCAAAATCAACTAATTTCAAACATTCACCTTCTGTTGGTTGTCAAGTAACGATTTTTTTCCGTCTTCATCCTTTCCGGCTTTCCCTTTCCAACTCGGTTGAGTTCTTTGTTTTCCATGTCTATCGCTGAGAAACCACCCGTCGTTTTGCTGAGTTTTGAGTAGCGTCCAGACATGTTCATGGGCCGGGTCGGGCCGGATTTTCATTTGTCATTAAGGGAAATATGTTAGGCCTCGATAAAAGCCCGAAGCCCGACCTAATAAAAAAAAACAATTTTTCCTATTCAAATTAGAATTAAAAATTCAGATAGGTTTTTTTTCTATTTAAATGAACATTGGGCCTACGAGATGGTTTTTTTTCCCTTTATTTTATATTTTAAAATACAATTTTACATTTTTAAATCAAAAAAATTATTCAAGTGGACATAATCACATTACTCACTTTAAGTATAATATTAGGTCGGATCGGGCTATTTTGACAAAACCCGAGCCCAGCTCGAATTTATTGCGGGTCGGGCTTTTTGGCCCGAATTTAAGCCCGCTGGCCTATAACCACGTTCAAGCCCGTCCGGGGGTCGGGCCACCCGGCCCATGAACATGTCTAGTAGAGTCATTGTTTTTCGTTTGGTAAATTTGTGGTTTATAGTTTACACTTTAAGGCCCTGTTTGAACACTTAAAATAAGTACTTTTAAGATATGGGACCACACATCAAGTGGTTTTTAAGTAATTATGGGTGTTTAATAAAAAAGAAGGTAATAAGTACTTGTTTTTAAAGAAGTACTTATTTAAAAAAGTGACTTGAAGTAAGCTTTATTTTTCATTACTTTTTAAATAAGTACTTCTCCAAAAAAATGGGACAAACCAGTCCCTAATATTTTCTTATAATACCTAAAATACCCCCACTCTCATTCTCCTATTTTTCTCTCCCTCTCTTTCCTTGTCTCTATTTCTCCGCCAACACGACGTCAGCGGCCGGTGTACCAGTCGACGACCGATGTACCAGCGACGTCGGCAACTTGATACCGGGCCATTGACGACAAAAATAGTACTGACCATGAAGTGGGCCCACGTGGACTCTCAATTAAAATGTATAACATACATACATACATACATACATACATATATATATATATATATAACATTTCCACCCCAATAAGTACTTAAAAACATAATAAGTGATTTGAAAAAGTGGGTTACCAAACAGCCTAAAGGGTTGTTAAAACAAGTATTTTTTTTAGCAAATACTTAATCATCAAACAAACCTAAAAAAATGTGTAATACCTGAAGGGTTGCTACAGTGAATAAACTAAACATTGTATTTGGATATATTTTTCATTTGTTATTGTTATTGTTATCACCTATACAAACCTAAAAAATCTTAGGATAAATTGCATATTAATACTATATCATATATTTTAGTGTTAATCTCACTATAATACCTGAATTTCAAAATGTGTCACTATAGTACCTTGATTCCTAAAAGTTAGAGAAAATTTCCCATTAGTATTTTGTACTTTGTGGCCAATGCCATTTTGGTCTTTGAATTTTAAAACATAACAATTTAGTATATGATTTTTCAAAATATGACAATCTAGTATCTGTCATTAATCAACACTTAACTTATCACTAAGTTACATTTGAAAATGACGCAAATGCCTTTCGAGTGACATTTATTCATTTTTTTATCAACCATTTAAACGTTGACAAAAAATTAGCAGTCCCAAATCCTTGCTTCTTACATTTAAGAAAGTTGGGGTTACGTTTGAGTGGGCATTCTAGTGCCCCAACTTTATTGAATAGAAGTGGTAAGGATTTGATATTGCTAATTTTTTGTTAACATTTAGATGGTTGTTAAAGAAAATTAAATATCACTCAATGGGCACTTGTGCAATTTTAAAATGTCACTTAACGGCAAATTAATAGCTAGTTAACGGTAGGTATTGGATTGTCACGTTTTGGAAGTTCGGGTACTGAATTGTTGCATTTTAAAGTTCGATGACCACTACACTCAAAATAAAGGGTACTAATCGGGGATTTTCCCCAAAAGTTATAAATTTATTACTTATCATTAGTAATTTGTCAATTATCTTACATACGCGATGTTACATGCAATTTGTAACATTTCAAATTTTTAAACTTACAACAAATATGGTGTTTATTATCTTCTTCCTTATACTAAATCAAATTAATAATGAACAAAGTCCCAAATCCACCATTGTTTACAACCATTACCTGAAAAATGTTTCCTCCACGGTTTTTTTCTTCTATTGTCATTCTCAAATAAATAAAATTATTTAAACAATGAATTTATTCATTAATCACGAAGGCCATTAACATTAGAATAGACAAGAAAAAATGAAAACGCAAAAATGTTTATTTGACAACTTCCTTCAACAACGTTCTTCTCTGAATATGATATTTTAAGGAGATTAGCATAAACAAACAACAAGGGATACTTTGGATAGGAGAAAAATAAATGAGTTAGGATAAATTGAGCTCCAAATGGTTGTTTATAATGAAAATTAAATGATACATAAGGGTATTTTTATTTTTTTACATGTCACTTAACATTAGTTAACGATTTTGAACAAAATTGACAACTATCGGGAGTTCAAGTACTACAATGGCACATTTTGAAATTCGAGTACTAAAGTGATATCGACCTACTATAGGGTACTAATCTACAATTTACTTATAATTTGATCATTTCATTTTACCATGTTTATCAACTCAATAAAATTTTACCCTTTTGTTTTAATGTCTTTGTCAGCCAAAAAAAAAAAGATTGCCCTTTTGTTTTAATGTATTTATCAACCTGATGTCTTAGCTTGGAATTGAATTGGGATTTGCTCCTCATAGCGCGTCTTAAAGCCCCATCCCATTGTGCATTGGGAACACTTCCCCATGAATAACAGCATAAAGTACGAGAGATGTTCCCAATACACGGTGAAATGGGGCTGTGAAGTCTGTGTGAGGTACTCTTCGCAATGAGTAGATCCATACTCTTTAACTTGCTTGTATTATGTCACCCATCCCTATGTTTGAATTTCATACTTTTAGTTTTTCATTGCCTTGTGTTTTCCTTGTACTATACTTTTAATTTCACATTGTTGTTTCAATCTTAAATATCAATAGTTGACTTCTATTTGACTCTATAAAAATGTTGTTCTATTAACATCAGCCCTGTATTCTATGAGGGTCTCCTTATGTATAACAATGATTTTCTAAGTTGATTATTCTATTAACTTATTCATATACTTATTTGCAATTTATGATTTTGCTACTTTATTATTTAAAGTCCTTGCACATTCATACTTGTCTTTGAAATATTTAATTTTAAACAATTCTCTATATTGTATCTATTGGGCATTTATGAAATACCACTAACAATATTAAATTTAATATATGCTTTATTTAATGTTAATAGATCAAGGAATGTTAACTCCAACGACAAATTTGATGCATTCATACGTCTCTCTGATACAAAGGACTCGATGTGTGTTGTTAGTTCATCATATGAACCGTAAACACTATGCAAATCTTCCACCTAACCCATTTATTGGGGATGTCAATTGGATTGGATTTGTTCCAATCCAATCTAGTCTAATGTGAGTCCAATACAAATGGACCATGTCCAATCCAATCAATAATTTGGACCATTTTGGATCGGCTCAATTCAGTGTTGGACCATTCAATATGTTCAAAATTGTTTTAATTTGGATTATTACTAATCCGGACCTAGTCGATTGGCACCTATATTCTTATCTTTTATCAATGGACCAAAGATTGACTCAATCAAATCCAATATAAATTCATTATGGATGGACTAGGTCATATTCAATCCAATAAATACTTTGGACTATTAAGTCTTGATTGGTCCAATTCGATATGTATTGTTGATTCATTCAATACGTCTAATTTGATTTTGGTTTGGACGGGATCCAATCCAAAACCGGTCCATTAACACCCCTATCAAGTACATTCAAATCATCTGGTGGACTACCTACCTCATTGTGTGCTTTATTATTATAATGATGCACTTCATCATGTAGAGAAGATGTGGATGTTTGCCCTCCATGCTTGTTAGGGCCTTTTTTATTACATCCACTAGGTGTAGTACTTGTGCCATCTTATTCATTATATTCATCATCACCGCTTATTTTGCAATTTGCATTTTTACTCTCATCCTAATTACGTCATCGTTGACTTGGTCTTTATCATTTGTTTCTTTGATGCTAAGGCCTGCATTATCTACCTCATGAGGTACATATAAATCAATACGGGTATTGGCTTCATAAGTTACACATATATTCAAGACATATTGATCAGTTTTCACCAATACCATGTTATCTTTAAAACCATATTCCGGCTTTCTATAAAACGTTTTCCACTATAATGTATACTTCAACTATTTTGTTATAGTATCTATTTTAATGAATGATGAGAGGTCATCATCCACATTATTACTCACATAAATATTACCATCATAATATATAAGTGGTGGTAAATCAATGCACATACCCCATTGGTGGATAAGAAAAAGTAAATATTTTTTTAAAAGAAATATTAGTTCAATAACAAGAATAACTAAAAATGGTGTATGACAAAAGATCATCATCACCATTGAAGTTATATTATGAGAGATGTAAAATCAACCAGGTTTTCCATCTAATGTTTATTTCTCTATGTGTGATTAGATACAATCCATCACCAATCCCTGTGATATAACTTAAACCATGAAAGAAAAAACATTTTAATGAACCAAGGGATCAAAGGTTCATGTTCATCAAATGATTATCAAAAGGGATTTGGGTTTGCAGAGGTAAGGTTCCCACACATAGAAAATTTAACATTTACATTTATAAATAGTCTTCCCATAGGTCATATTGGAAACAAGCACATCAATGTAAGTAACATTCGTATGGGAAAAATGAACACATTGGCAGATGTATTTTGTACTACACTGTTATGTGAAACAAATACGTCAAGAAAAGGGGGTGGAGTCTCCTCTCCTTTGTCTTTCATACAAATGAACAAATCAAGTAAGTGTCCCACTTTCATGAGATATGACAATTACTTTCTATCCCATACCATTGTCACTAGTAGAGAGATATATACCATGCACATGGTGAATAAGGTAGGGA